AGCAAAGTCGTGGTATTTTCCATTAATAAGACTTTATGAAGATAGATGATTATGAATATGAATAGGAATACTTGAAAGCATGTATATTAATTTTATAAAGAGCTATCATTACATGTGTATATAATATATGCAATCAATTATATATAAATATATTAATAAATATGTATGTATTTTTGTAATTGTATAGATTAATAGTTGCAAAAGAATATGTAACAGTATCGCATTTCATATACCATAAACTTAGTTATATATATCATTGCAATTGATTGTCAAGGCAACGCGCCGTATACAGGGTATTGCAGAAGCTACTACTCTTGAGCAGAGCTTGCTTCTACTCTGTGCTCCTTTTGTATACTGGCGCTGCAGCAATTAAATAGCTTCGAGCACACTGAACTCAATTGCAGCAATTTCAATAACTGTTAAGAACACTCAAAGGTACAAGGCTTTGGATAGCAGCGCAGAGCATACACACACAGACGGACAGACAATCTAGCTGATGGCTGATAATCTGTCATGCTGCTAGGGCAGCCAAGAGTTTATTCTTCTAAATTTCAACAGCACAACCTTTTAACACTTATTTGTGGCACTTGACCAAGTTTACTTTTCGTTTTTTTGGCACTTACCTAGTTATTTTGATTGGAGCTTGCAATGGCCGAAAAGGGAACACGAAATTTAAAAAAATTTTTGATTTGGTCTATTGCGAAATTTTTTTTGTATTAATTATATATATATACATATATACACATATACATATATATATATATTGTATATTGAAAGAGTATTTTTTTTGCAAATTAAGTTTAGATCGTGACGCGGTACGGCCGAAAAGTTAACACACTAAGAATTTTGCCACTAAGAAGCCGAAATTGAACTTTTATAAAATATATGTACGCTACACAATCTGATTTTATAAACAATACAAAGAGTAAAAACAAGTTGACATAAACTGAAACATCTCGCAAAGTGTGCTTAGTTTTTCCAACACAGCGACCATGCCAATGTGATATTAAAATCAAATAATTATATTTAAAATGAGAATTAAAAGAAACAAATGCTCTAAACTTGCTTTAAATTAAAGACTTGAATTTAATGAAAATTTAAAAAGGTAAATTAAATATTAATAAGTATAATAATCAAATAACTCGTTTATAAAATGGACAAATTATAAATTAATAAATTCACTTCATTCAAAATTTCAGGCATTATTATTTGTAATATTCTTTATTCCAAACATTGTTCTCGCATATCTAATAATGTCGTTAGTTATAATTTTCCTTTAATCAGTTCATATTTATCAGTCTATATGTACTCTTATTGTTTGCGCTTATCTTTTCCGTTTCAACCAGTAATCCAATGCAACTTTAGAAAACTTCCCAGCTTAAATACCACAACGTAGACCTCTAATAATGATTACCAAAAGACCACGCCAAACTGCCAAGCTAGGCACAAATTTTCAGCTACAACAACAGGTCTTGTCGTCTCCATAATCTTCCACTGCCCCTATCCACATCCCTATCAGGTTCAGTTTAAGCAGAACAACGGCAGAGAGCACAGCGCAGCATCTTTCTTATTAAGTTGTTTTCAAAACTAACTGCAAAAGTTGAATTATAAGCCGCCAAATGATGTCTGTCGCCTATGCAAACACACTCATACACCCACAGAGAGAGAGGGAGAGCGTCTGTCCCAAAAAGAACTTCACAGTTGCCTCTGCCTGGGCACCCTCAAAATGTGGAGGCACTTAAGATGCTTAGCGCCATGGCAAGCGAAAATAATGACGCTCATAAAAACTAACTAAACAGAAAAATAAAGCAAACAGCATCAAAGGACGACAACGTGAAATACAGTTATATAGACAGCAAGAACTTAGAGCGAGATGTTCGGGTTCTTGTGCAGATGGATGAAATCCGCCTGTTGGCTGTTACACTTATACCCTTTAAGGGATTTGGAGTAAATGGATGATGCATTGAACTGTGCATCCATAAGACAATTCAAGACGAAATTTATTGCAGATTTATAAAGATTATTTGATCTATTAATATTACTTTGCATGAGAATATGATAATGTAGACAGAAAAGAAAATTTTGTAAAATTTCCATACAGTTAAATTCCATCTGTTCTTCAAATTCCTCTACTTTTCAGAAACCTGAAATAATTATCTTTTCATTCATATATTCCATCACAATATATGTTTGATCTACCTTCTACAGGGTATTTCAAAATCAATCCATGGCTTAAGCTTGCCACTTGCTCGTTTTTAAGCTGTGCGCGCTCGGAATGACAATGATAATGATGTGCGATAATGTTGGTAGTTGTTGTGTTTTGCTTTGTTTATTGTTTTAGCCTCAGCGACAAATACTATGCACAATGATGATGAAGCCAATCGTAATGATGACGATGGTGCTGATAATGATTATTTCGTTGTTTATTATTGCAGCTAAGACAACTGCCTAAGTTTTTTGCTAAAGGACTAGTTGAGCCGCTTACGAGACACATTATAATTATTGCAGCAGCCGATTGCCACGCCCCCTCAACCAATCTGATTTAGTAGTTGAAGAAAGGGGAGTGAAAGGAGAAGTAGGAGCGAAAGTGGTATTAAAAGTAGGAGTAGGAGTAGGAGTAGGCGTAGTGGCAACAACTCTTGATTTATTTCTTAGCCACGGCCTATGCGAGACTCCGTGATTCCTCTCAGCAATTTCATTAATTGATTTGAGCCGTTTGCATTTCCCATTTTCTTTTTAAATTTCTCTCGCTTTTCGTCTCTCGTCTTGCTTTGGGTTTTGGCATTGGTCCAACGAATTTGTACCGTGATTGAAAGCCTCTTTTCTGATTTGGCTTGCGTGTTGCAATTCTATGTTTTTTTTTTTTTTCTTTATCTTGATAATACTGGGCAAAGGGAGTATATTAGTTGTATGAAGTGAGT